TTATCAGTATAAAAGACACCCAACCTCAAACAGTCACACTCCAAACTCCACTATGGCCAAGACCAAAGAGCTGTCAAAGGACACCAGAAACAAAATTGTAGACCTGCACCAGGCTGGGAAGACTGAATCTGCAATAGGCAAGCAGCTTGGTGTGAAGAAATCAACTGTGGGAGCAATTATTAGAAAATGGAAGACATACAAGACCACTGATGATCTCCCTCGATCTGGGGCTCCACTCAAGATCTCACCCTCCAGACGTGTCCCCCTGCTTAAGCCAGTACATGTCCGGGCCTGTCTGAAGTTAGCTAGAGAGCATTTGGATGATCCAGAAGAGGATTGGGAGAATGTCATATGGTCAGATGAAACCAAAGTAGAGCTTTTTGGTAAAAACTCAACTCGTCGTGTTTGGAGGAGAAAGAATGCTGAGTTGCATCCAAGGAACACCATACCTACTGTGAAGCATGGGGGTGGAAACATCATGCTTTGGGACTGTTTTTCTGCAAAGGGACCAGGACGACTGATCCGTGTAAAGGAAAGAATGAATGTGGCCATGTGTCGTGTATAGAAAGCCTTTGGAGGGAGTTGAAAGTCCGTGTTTCCCAGCGACAGGCCCAAAACATCACTGCTCTAGAGGAGATCTGCATGGAGGAATGGGCCAAAATACCAGCAACAGTGTGTGAAAACCTTGTGAAGACTTACAGAAAACGTTTGACCTCTGTCATTTCCAACAAAGGGTATATAACAAAGTATTGAGATGAACTGTTGGTATTGACCAAATACTTATTTTCCACCATAATTTGCAAATAAATTCTTTAAAAATCAGACAATGTGATTTTCTGGATTTGTTTTTCTCATTCTGTCTCTCATAGTTGAAGTATATGATGTAAATTACATCTTTTTAAGTGGGAGAACTTGAACAACTGGTGGCTGACTAAATACTTTTTTTGCCCCACTGTATATGCATCAAAAAATACTGTCATTTGTTTTGTGTGGTAGTAGGACTCGTTGCCAAACTTATTTCCTCACCACTTTCCAAATCAAACCTCTCTAAACATAAAAAGATGGTTGTGACTCATTCAGACTTACCTTTCTCTGCACCAGCTCCAGTGCGCATGTCACCCTTGAGCTTCTTTACTTCTTCTGCGGTCAGGTCTCCACCTTTTAAGACCACAACTTGAGGTAACTCATCCTCTTGGTCACTCCCGCTGTCATCATCCAGTGTTGGCATCACCTGGCGCTGAGAGGACAACGTTAAGAAGAAAGTGAGACGAGGAGGTTTTCCCCAGCCTGGAAATGAAGTAACCCCGTTTGAAACCGTGACATTCGGTGTGCGGGCTGAGATAAGAAGTAAATGAATCCCATCCGGAGGCTGTGTTTCGTTTCAGTGATAGTGACTCATTTTATCAGCAGACAGTGGGAAAAGAGATAACTAACGTATGGACAATGGTTTCATACACTGAAAGGAGCTAACGCAGACGCTGTTCCGAGTACGTACTACTAGCTTACACAAGCCAAACCAACATACTTACCTTTGTGTCAACAGTCGGTCCTTCTTTGTATCCGACATCACTTTTAAACTTCTTCAGAAAGGAGGGTTCCGCGGGTTTGACCCAGGACACACCGCTGGCCTTGTTTTTATTCATTGCAAAGCAGTAACTACACCAACACAAGCGCACAAAATAAAATACAGGCTTGGCTTTTCGATTAGCACAAAATTGACCAAAACATAACATACGTCATCAAAGTGTGCCACTATGAGCCACATGACTTCAGGGGTTGCCACGATTGGTGGACATGAGAAACAGTTGTCAAGATGGCAGAAATGTGACAGGGGGAAAGTATTGCATCTTCTGTACGGAGTCTTCTCACGGACGTGAACTGCACACATACATACATGTAGTTAAGTGTGATTTAAGCATGATTTCAGGGTCTTTGTACGCGTCACTTGCGGGTTTTTTGGGTGCCGTCGCTTCTTTGTCTGCCAAGCTGTCCCTCGGTGCGGACTACCTGAGAGACATGTGTGCGTCAGTGCTGAGCAGACATGGTGCGGCTACAGACTGCGACTGGGTGAGGCTCGGTTCACTTAACATTTAATGTCTATTTCTCAAACTCGACCTTTCTCTTGTAAGAAGACTTACATATTCTTACCATGGTTGCACCCAAGTATATACAACAACCTACAGAAGCCAAAGTTATACTAGCTTTCAAATAAATAAGAATTTATCAAAAGTAAGAGTTTTAGGGCTTATCTGTGGAGTGAATAAGATATTAATAAATGTTTTGCTGCAAGTTATTTGCTGTGTATATTTAAAATATACTCAAATTACAGTCATTTCATTGTGTTGTGTAGAATTTAAGAAAATCTAGTTATAGGTAACAAACATTGTGAGAAGAGAGTTTACACAGCAGCCATTTTGATATGTCACAACAGGAAATGCTCAAATGTAAATCATAACATTAATGGTAAATATTAACTTTATTAGTTGCACCTGTGCTGTTCCTGTCTGCTTTGAAACAGCTGTGTTCATGAATGACACTGCATAAACATGACTAATGATTCAAGCATTTGCTTTCACCTCTGACCTGTGTGTTCTTCCAGCTCCACATCCCATTGCGGCTGCTGTGTGGAGGCCTGCTATTAACCTGTAATGCTCTCATGTGGACCTTCTTCTCCAAGGCTCTCCGACACTGCTCCTCCTCAGCCAGAGCCACAGTCACTACCACTGCATTGAACTTCATCTCTTCAGTGAGTTCTCTGAAATTTCCTATGGTGAAAGCATTCATATTCATACTCTGTCTTCAATTCATGAGCCTCTTCTGTTTGTGTGTCCAGGCTGCCCTGGGGAGGATGATTTTTGGAGAGACCCATGGAGCTCTCTGGTGGGTGGGCATCTCCCTCACTCTATGTGGACTGCTGGTACTTTATGAATCCACATCTCAGACTGTCCCACAGGAGGAGGTCAAAAAGGACTAGTAATGTAATGAATTTGCATCCCATAAGTGTGCAGCCTCTGTTCTGCAGTTGCACTCTCAACATACTGTGGCAAGACTCCCTCTCAGACACTACTATGACTCATGTGCATAGCCTATGGTAGTGACATTAGCAGGATTTAATGTCAATACATTTCCATCAGTCCAAAATTCAAATAAACTTTGAATTATTCAATGTAGGACCCAGTGTCAGAAAGCTGGATCTCCGTCAGAGGCTGTGGCTCTTACATGGGGGAGGCGACAGTGGTGCGGTGGGTAGAGCAGTCGTCTCCCAACCAGAAGGTTGAAAGTTCGAATCTCGGTACCGGCAGTTCATGTGTCGAAGCGTCCTAACCTATCTTGGAAAGTGGGAGCTCTTCTAAAACTGATTTTGGGAGGATCTGGAAAGACTTTCCTGAGGGTGGGATCACTCTGAGAAGTGAGGAGAGAGGTTGCCTGGAGGAAACAGGAGATCATTCTTCACAAGTCTTTCACGGACCGACACAATCCTTTATTGGAAATCAGTTGGTTACTGGACACTTCATATGAAAGATCAGAGGAACAATGTCTCATGTCTCTTAAAGCTCACTTGGTAAGGAATTGTTTTTTTTTTCCAGTTTTAATTGTATGTTCAGAGACCACTATCATCCAGGACATCAGAAACAGAAGTGCTAAAAGTAGCCATGATGGAAAATGTACAAAATTGTGATATGCATTGATATAGTTATATTCCTCTTGTCACAGAATGTGTTGTATTTGTTAATAGTGAGTTACTGCCCCCTGCTGGCAAAAGGGGCAACCACCTCCAAACAGCTAAAACTACCACTCATTCCTGTCGGGCAGACCCTCAAGTGCAGTTCGATAAGAGCTAAAAGTTGTAGTTTACTGTGCAGCACCAGTATAGCAGGACATTCCAGAGTCACACTACCCCTACCAGCCAATAACTACTCTTCAGAAAAGAATGTAATAAACAGAAGTAAAGACAAGTAAAGTTTTAATACGGTGCACATCTGGTCCATCACATTGAATTAAAGGAATAATTTGACATTTGGTAAATAATCTTGCTTGCTTTCTTGCCAACAATTAGACTGATACCACTCTGTCTGGTAAATAGAAGAATGGGAAACAGCAGCTGCTTAGATTAGCTTAGTATAGAGACTGGACAGGGCGAACAGTTTGGCTCTGTCCAAATGTAAAACAAGAAGTTGCTTTCACACTTAGGTTTTGTGTGAATTTGTATAAAGCAGGGGTTTCCAACTAATTGTGGCTGAGGGACCACCATTCTTGTTATGAAGTAACTTGAGGACAACTGCTGTGAGACACACAGACCAGATGGGCACGATTTCCATCCTGAAAGTTAGGCTTTTCTAAATATGATATATTTGCATGAATGTGATTATTCACAAACAATAAGTAACATGGAAATCTGTTTTTAAAATAAAAAAAAAAATTCTACAGCAAAACTACATTATTGATTGCATGGGCAGGGACTATCTGCAATGCCTTTGCAGACCACCAGGGGGCCAAGGACCACTGCTTGAAACCCCTGGTACAAAGAAAACCAGATACTATGTGTTAAGTAATGTACTTTACAGGTTTGGGCCGGTGGACTTTGTTAGGTTTACCCAAAGACAAGCCAGCTGGCTCCCAGTCATGAGTACCATCTTGTCATCTAACTGTTGGCAGGAAAGCAAACCAACTTATTCCCCCAAACTATTCTATTCCTTTAGGTGACTTAATACTACTTTCAGGGATTTGGGTTAATGTATTAAAATAGCCTTAATGAGCATACAGCAGAGTATTTTATACATCAATAAAAACAGTTGTATTAAAATAAGTTACAGTAAAGTTGTCATAGTCTTAGCAGCCATGAGTGTTGTACCCAATCTATCTAAAATCAGCAGTTGAGGGGAGCCGACAGATGTTGCTGTTACCTAAATAAACCTGCCAGTCATTCAGTTCTTTATTATTAACATAGCTGAATCCCTAAGGCAATACTCAGCTGTACAGATTTCATAGGAAATTTCAACTTATTCTGGAATGTAAAAATGAAACCCAAATGATGCTATAACTCAGTTTGTTAAAGTGATGCAGACATGAGTGGTTCTCTGGCACCTATTTAACAGTTAACAGCCCTTATCCAGCAGCTACTTTTTAGCTTTCTCTATTACACAACTATCTCCTCATGAGGTCACTAGATGAAAATTGCAACTCTAGATACAGATGTCAGAATTAAGTTGTGGAGTTGAACAATAAGGAGGACCTGTACACCTCATGGGTCAAAAGGAGGGTGGAGAGGATCACTGCAGACGCCTCACACCCTGGACACAACCTGTTTGAACTCCTACCCTCTGGACGGCGTTACAGGTCACTGTGGACCAAGACAACCAGGCACAAGGACAGTTTCTTCCCCCAGACCATCACTCTGATGAACACTTGACCAACGACAGTACGACTGGACAATAAACCTCAGAGCAATAACTGTGAATATATCTCGTACAGATCATACAGATTTGTACAGGCCTCTGTTCTTGCATTGTTTACTGCCGTCTATACTGCTTATTTTGCATTGTTTGCACTGCTTGTTAATACTGCCTTTTTTTTTGTACAGCCTTACGCTGGTTTACTGTTTACTTGCCCCTCACATGGGGATATGTACAGTATATACCTGTACACATTGAGAGCCAATGTACCAGCGTCAAATTCCTCGTGTGCCCAACACACCTGGCCAATAAAGCTGATTCTGATTCTGAATAAATCATACAGTGTGTGTCATAGCTAAATGTGTTCCCACATAAGATGGATAAGGCACAAGGTGAATGCTCAGAAAAAGGCAGTAGAGAAAACTGCTTATGCTCCAGTGTTCAGTAATTAGTTTTTGTAGTGTTTTCCTGAGACTACTCCAAGATGCGAATCCCATTAACAAGGGAGCTGTGAATGCTTCCAGCTGCTTTTTTCCACCAGTTAGTTCTATTACACAGTGATTTTGGGGAAATACAGGCAGTTTGGCAAGAGGTTAGAAGTAAAAGAAAATTCCCAAAAATATCCTTTTGATTGTGCATGCAGTGACACTTCATTTATAAAAGGCCAAGATGCTGAAGTTTGGCAACAGTATTCAGTTTGCTGCCCTGCACACCATGCAAATGGCTGCACTGACCCTGGATGTCCAATATGATACTCTCACATACATAAGAAGTCATTTAGATGAAAAATATATAGAAAGTCTAGCTGGTTTCTCGCTATGTAAAAAGAACCAATAAAGTCTCGTGTCCCCAAATTTCAAAGAGATGTTTCTGTCTGCAGAGAAGCCTTGCCAGTCAGAAAACCTGCCTTCCTGACTGCTAGCTGAGTGGTATCTCTATGACATCCTCCGTGATGATCTCCCCTTGTGGAATGGTGACATGCTCGCTAGGGCTCTTCTTGCAGCTGAGCCCTGAGAAGGGGCTGCACCAGGACAGTGAGAATGGGCCTCCGAACGCCATTTGCATGGCCTCCCAACGTGGCATCTTCCCCCACTTCCCCGTCTCTCCCTTCAGACGCTCGATCCCCTGGAGAAGACATAATGAGGCAGTGAGGTGAAAGCAGTCGAGCCAAAAGAGACTGCATGTGTATCATATACATGCACTATTAATCACAACTCTAACAGAACTAAAACATTATGGGTTCACGTTTTAGGCAAGTTTCTTAGACACAAGTGAAAATATGTCTATCTTAACACATTACTCCTTTACCTAATGTGTGTTAAAAGAGTGTACAGTAATGCTAACAGCATTATGCACATTAGCACTACACACAAAGTACAGTTAAAGCACATTGGTATGTCAATCATTTTGCTGGTCTTTGATCATAAACCAGAGAAGTGGACAAATTAGAGTTTTGACCCAGTGATGGCGCTAAGTGAAAGTGAACAGATCAGTAAAGTTGTTGCATTAGTGAAGACCATATCCAAATTTCAAGGTAGCCTAACCCACCCAATATTTGTTGAATTTGTTTCACTCAAAACAAATACATCATCATACAGTAGCTGAAGAGTCAGAGGATCACTAAAATCATTAGGATTGGTTCTCTGGCTTCCGTGTCTGTATGAAATTCTGTGGCAAACCAGTCAGTGTTGAGATATTTCACATTTTAAATGAAAATATTTGTTTGCTGGCTGGAGTGAGCTGAGGTTGATGTTAGGTTATGATTTGGTGCCGCAGAGGCTGCTGTGAGGTTAAAGCTGTATTCAAGCTTTAGGCTGGTAGTGTATGTGGTCTGCCACAGCTCAGCAGGGAAACAAAGACATTCCCTCTTTGTAGTAAAAAGACTTTGGAGGATACACACAAGGTTGTTAGTTTTTATTGACTATTGGAACGGCCGTGCAAACGCTATAAGAAATTAATAATTGTGTGATTGCCTCCAGCAGAGTTGGAGTGGTCGTATAAACGCACCGTTACTCTGGTCACCCTCAGTAAATTAGGCTAATGTTGTTGTCTTTGCTAAAGTGAAATGGCAGAAGCTATTTCAGCATGCTGAACAGAGAATGAGGACCCCAAAGGGTCTTAGAAGTAGATGTGTGGAAACATTTTGGATTCAACCCCTTTCACACACACTGAGGTTTCAGGGGCTCTGCGAATGTGAAACAAGTATGTTAAGACCAGGGTCGCCTGTGATCAAATTGGTTTGAATGTGACTCTTTTTAAAATAAGCAATAGCCCTTTAAGATCCCTAATGGATTTATACTGACTTCTGCTGAAATCTGGAATGTAGCTCTGCACAGAAAACTGACTTTAGAGCCCATGTCTTATAATACACTACAATGCAAATGGATCGCTTGGTGACCAGTGTGGACTGGAGTTATTTTATAGTGACCAAATAACTCTTTCAGTGTACATAAGGCTTGTGAGTATTGTATAAACATAGACTTGAATACATCCTAACCATTCTTTTGAAAATTCTTGCATCAGTTCAGATTCATTTTCTAAAAATGTGCCCAAGATTTAATATTGCACAAAATGAGTTGCATGCACTTTAACAATGAAATGAAAACTAAGGGAAGAACCATGTCAAATGTTCACAAAGTGCATGCATCACAGAGCTTAGCTCACGCATTCATTCATAATGTTTGGTTGAATGTGAAAAAAAAAAAAAAAAAAATCAAAGTGCTCTTTGGCATTTGGAATCCGCATGCTGGTGATGTGTTCAGCTTGATGGAATGGCTATGACCCTTGTTTCAAGCTTACCTCTGTCGAGATTATACAGAGCTGTCTGCTTCAGAAAGCTCTCAGCAGAGTGATCATCAACCAAAGCCAATGCATGAGTGTGTGGAGGAGGTGAACATTGTATGGAAAACAGGCAGATTATAGAGTAAAGTGGGAGAAGAATGGAAGACAAGGACAGGGAAAATTTAGTAAGGCGGATGTCACAAACCACCGTCTGCAGGTAAAATAGAATTGCAAATTCATTAAAAATCAGAAAGTGAAATATCTCATTTAGGTATTCAGACCCTTTGCTGAGGCACTTCAAAATGTGAGCAATGCTTGAGATGTGTTTAGAACTTGACTGGATCCACACTGCATGTCTGGACAAAATCCATCAAGTCCATGAAATTCTCTGCAGACCTCTGTGATAAAACTGGTGATGCACAGGTCAGGACAAGGGTCTAAAACCGTTTCTAAGGTCAGAGTGATCCAGGGCCACAGTGGCCTCAGAAACTGTGAAATGGAAGAAGCGTGGAGCCACCAGGACTCTTCCTAGAGTTGGCCGTCTGACCAAAATGAGTACCTGAGTGAGAAGGACCTTGGTCAGGGATGTGACCAGGAACCCAGCAGTCACTAACAGAGTTTCAGAAGTCATCTGCTGTTAGAACCTGCAGGAAAGAAGAGCATCTCAGCAGTTCTCCATCAGTCAGGCCTTTATGGTAGAGTGGCTACACAGAAGCCACTTTGAGTAAAAGGCCGATGAGAGCTGCTCATCGTCTGCTCTTACCATCCCTACAGTGAAGCATGGTGGTGGCAGTGTCATGCTGTGTGACAGGGAGACTGGTCACAACTGAGGGAAGGATGAATGCAGCCAAATACACAGAGGTCTTTGAAGAAAACCTGGTCCAGAGTGAACTCAGCCTGAGACTGTGGTGACGCTTCACATTGCAGCACAATAATGTCCTAAAGAAAACAGCCAAGACATTGGAGTGACTTCAGGACAAGTCTCTGACTGTCTCCGAGTGCTACCAAAGGGGCTTCTACAAGGTACTGGATGAAGGATCCGAGTACTTTTTTTTTTTTTTTTTTTTTTAAGTTTCAGTCTTTGATTTTTAATACATTTCTCATTATGGGTTATTGAGTGTAGATTAATGGACAAAATGGCAATTTTTTCCATATGTGAAGAGGTCTGAATACTTGAGCTACTGTATTTGAGCATAATAACTGCTCCACCGTTAAATATAAGCAAACATCTTAAAAAGCAAGCCAACACAGTTTTTGCATTGCAACTGAGAAGTATTTATTCTCTGTGCATGTGCTGAAATATCATCAGAATATATAGAAAGAATTAAAATTTCTGTAAAAAACAAGTCATCTCCACCATCACTCTTGGCACCTTCGTACCAAGTGTTATACATTACTAAACTAGCCTTCACTTGCACCATGCAGTCAGATACATACAATGTCATGTGAGCAAAGAACAGAAGAATAAAATGCACACTGTAGAACAGAGAGCAACTTACACAGGAGAAACTCTTCAATGGTACATACAAAATGTGGGTTAGCCATTTTTGCACTTGCGTAAATGTTGAGTGCTGAAATCTGAGTTAATACTTTGTTAAATGCGCTGCAGTTGTGTGAAACAGTACAGAAACAGCCCAGCTAATATCCAGCTGCTGCATAACAAGATGCAGTGCTACATATTTTTATATAGTGCTTCCCTTGAACTCTGCACAGGCTTTAATATGTTTTCTCCTGTGCAGAAACTTTGTCTCAAAGCTTTCCCCGATAATCATGTAACTATGGGGGTTCACTGAATTTGGCATACAATCACAACATCAAAGCACCACAAGGGCTTCGAGCACAGAGCCTGTTCCACTGGCTACTGATCATGCGAACACGCACACACAAACACACACACACACAGACAGACACAGACACACAAGGTGTTACTGCGGGAGACCGAACCATTTTTCAATGTGTTGCGACACAGCTGATGACAGACAAGCTGAGGTTGACATTTGTACTGACTGAAACCTTTACCTTCCTACCTTACCTTACATTTACCTTTCCAGCACTGCTAGAATATTTCAGCAAAACCTGCCAGGAATAAAGACAGCTGGCATTTGATCCTGGATTTGATTCTGTTTGGGGAAACAAACCTCCTGGCTTGCTCTGGTCTAAACACATGCGCGCCCACACACTCATACACCAGCTGTGATCATGTCAACCATGTATCAGAGAGGAATCAAGGAATGTTCCACACTCGGGCAACATGTACAGTGGTTTCAGACAGTAATCAGACCTTGTCACTTTTTGCATTGCTATTGTGTTACAGATGTAAAGCTACAGTTTGTACCTTAAGGTAACATTAGCATGAAACTGATGTCAATGCCCTTCAAAACTCTTTAGAAGTCAATATCTCTGCACCGGTGCCAGTGCTGTCTCAGTGAGTCTGGTTACAGGAGGCTTCGACAGCACCTCTCCACATTAAGACAAGTTTTGGAGCAGATTTCTACAACAATTATATTTCAAAAAAATTATATACTGTAGCTTTAACTTGAAATGGATAAATTTGCCATTTTAACCAACACAAAGTGTGCAAAAGTGACAGTCTGAAAAAACTGGGATCAGCGCAACCCTTATTGTAAGAATAGATAAAACACACCAACCTTACTTTCAGAAGAAGGCACTGTTGATGCCCAACCACATTTCCATAGTCATAATAAACCAGAAATCCACAACAATAATTGCAAACGGCTCGTCTATGTGCTGTATTTGGCAACATTTGAAAGTCTTGAACTTTTGCAGAATGGTCCCCACAAGACGTCTGATTGTAGAGATTCAACCTGGATCAACCTCTGGCCAATCTTTAATTTATTCTAGTGGGGAGCCATTTACAAAGTTTACTTTGTCCATGTCTGGAACACACTACTAACTACTGCCTGACAAGAGCGAGATGTAAAGGGTCATTTCATTCTAAAATTACAAAGACATTGCAGGTTCATGGAATCTTGGTTGTGATGCTTCTGAGCTGCGAGGAATGACAGCAACTTAAATGGAAATTGTATTTCCAGAAACAATGCCCTGGTTACTGGACAACCCAGTGTGAATATTTGCTGATTTGAATTGTCATTGTCTTTGAATATGAATACTTTTGACATAATGATGGGCATTTTTCACTATTTTCTGACATTTTATTAATGATCAATCAAAACAATTCTCGAGATGTCAGTCTACAAGGAAAATGATACTAAATTGCAGCTCTAAAGGAAACTCCATTCTCTTCTATTGTATTGGGATGACAGGAGAAGTTTCAGGGGCGGATATCTCAGAACATTAACAGCTAAAACTGAAACTATCTGCAAGCCCAGACACCAGCAGGGGAGGATGATAAAATATGACTTTGTGGTAAATTTAGTTGAAATAACCCTTCACGAGAAAACAAGACACAGCCAGAGAGGAGAAGGCTCCTGATACAACACAGAGAGGAGGAGATCAAAACTGATCACAGTGTGTGCAAAAAGGATTCACAAACTGAAAGTGTTTCTTTATCTCTGCAACTCAGCTCGTTCAAGACAACATCAAAATGGATGTATAACGCACTTAGTTTGGCAACACAAAAAGCAGATGATGTCCATGGCTAATATGGAAGATACAGTGTAAATCACGTTCATACTGCCAGAGCTGAACTCAGCGGGGTTGGGCTGGGCCTCGGCCCCTACGCTGAGTTCTCACACCACATATTGGTATGTCTCAGCTTTCCCATGGTCAGGGGTGGAGAAGGGACTAAACCACAATAAGGAGAAAGGGTGTCCGAATACCGCCCTCATGTTCATCCACTTAGTTTTTTTAGCCCATCTTCTCTCTTCCTTTTTCAACTGCTCTATGCCCTGAAAATAAGAGACAACCAAACTTCAGTTGACATGCTTTTGTGACCCTGTCAGTAATCACAAACCAAATTCTAAATACTAATTTCTTTTAGCCCACTAAACATGAAAAATCAAATAAAACCACAAAACCAACATTTCAGACTCTGTGATTTCTCTACAAGCTGCTCTGTTACCTTTCCCTCTGGCTGTTGTACAGTATGTCCAAGATAAAATGTGTAACCATATCTCTGGAGTTGCAGACAAAAAGAAGTTCAAAGCAGAAAAAGCAGTTTAGTTTGGTGAGTTATTATACAAAAGCACACCAATACAAGTGGCAAAATTATTTTAGCGCAACACCAATCTTTGTAGTATAGCGATTCCTTCTTCCACTGATACATGTACACCTGTAACTGCCAAAAGAAAGAAAACAGCTGAGTATCAAATCTAAATTTGAAGTGGATGGAGATTCTTTCTCCCTCCCTCCTCCTTTCAGCCTCTCTCTCACAAAAAAAAAAAAAAAAATTTGTTTTGCAAAGTATGTGGTAAGCAGGGATGCACTGATACCAGTATCGGGTATCAGGCCTAATATCAGTCTCTAGTACTGGTACTTTTCAAAGTACCAGCACTAGGGGGGTCACATGCACACAGTAATAACAATGATGTCATTTGAGTGACAGTCAAAAACTGCTCGAATACAGCATCCTCCCTCCACCTTGGCCTGATCAGAAGCTTCTCCATAAATGTCCAACAAATGTGAAATGTCCTCGTCTCTCCGCTGACCCTGGTCACGGCTGTTGATCCGCTTTGTGTTTACCCTTAAAAGGCTGACACCAAGTGATGACAGCAGGTGATATGCACATGTGCAAAGTGAGACACTTGAAAAGAAACACTTGAATTGCAATCTGACAGCACACGATCAGAAAATCATTTCATCTTAACAGAAGGTCGCACACCTAAAGAGGTTCAAACCCACAGTATGTTGTGTAGTAGGCTACAGACATTCAGTTAGTTACATGTTATGAATGGTGCTTTGTCATCTCAAGAAGTTTTAAGGTCATTTGCGCAGCCTCCTGTTATATATTTTATTTAATCACAATTAGAAAGTAAATCTTATGAAAATAATGTCACTGTCCTTTTATGGTTATTGTAATTTTTATAGTTGAAACATTCCATTATTATTAGAAAGTACTTGTTTAGGTATTCAGCCTTGGCAAAGACTCAAATGGAAGTACTCATACAGTTAACCAGATGTCATGTTAACAAACTCTCATTTTGGCAAATCAGTTGAACATGTACTTTATGCATTTAGTCCCTTAAATATTAGGTTTGGGATTTTTCAATTTGGCCTGAAAAAATTATCAACATGCCATGTGTACATGACAATGGGTACTAATCACATGACTATCCTGAAAGAAACAAGGGATAAAATACAGAATTCTCGCGTATAAGTTGTTGTTATACTAGTGATTACTACTTAAGGTGTGCTCGAGTGAACTTCAAAGTGAGTTTGTACATCACAGATTTGATAGCTGAAGTATCTTTGCAGTTTGGACCTTTGGGACACCAGTAAAACTGACACCTACTCTGTGTTTGGATTATATTTGTGTGCATGCAACATCTTATCTCTTATTTTCTTGTTTATTCCTGCCTCATCTGAACCTTGTATGAAATAAAACCTGGTTTGTGTCAGCATGTATCCATTGTTCTGAAAGAAAGAATCAATGGGCAAAAGCATTCCATTGATTTTCCCCTGAGAGATCCTAAAAAGACCAGGCTGTGGCCAATAGCAGGCAAACTGGACATAAATACACTGTTTGCAAAGCTGAGAGAGCTGCACGTATATGGAGCCATTTCCACAGTTGGAGAGGTGCTATAAGAGAAACACTGAAAAGCACAGCTAACAGCAGCTAACAGGGGGTAAGTGCAAATAAACACACATTATAAATACACCGATCAGCCACAACATTATGACCAGGCCTAATACATAGGAGTCAATGTGGCAGTTGGTTGTCACTCATGTCACTGAGCATCTTCTGTGAATCCATTTGCTTCCACAGTTCTACTGTCAGGAAGAGCACAGATGTGTCTACGATTCAGTGAAAAACCTAAGTAAAAGGAGTGAAAACTGTGGTCGTGAGGACAAGTTGGAGAGAATTATTTAGTCAGTGTTATTCACCTCACCTGCCAGTGGTCATAATGTTATACCTGATTGGTGTACATGTTTATCAATCAGCCAAACTAAAGTCGTGTGTAAGATAATGGTCCTAAAAAGGTAGCAGTGACAACAGTCAGCACTTCACCTAGAGTGGTAGCAGAGACAGTGTTTCAGAATTGTAGAGACAAATGGTAGTTAACACTGATTATACATTATGTCTTCATTAACTTAGCCAACTATTTGTTGTTTGGGTCACATCATAAAACTCATGCATAATCAGTGTGCAGACAAATACTTACTTATTTATCTATTTTATATTTCATTTGTATTTTGTGTTATTCATGTGGACGGCAAAGTAAGAATTTCATTGTACAGGGAAACATGTTTCCTAACTGTGCATATGACAAATAAACACTTTGAAAAACACTATAACGTCAAACAACACTGACTCTAATTAGCTTGGTGGGACAGTGAAGCTTCATTTGAACGTCTGAGTGCTTTATTTCACAGAGGGAAGGCTGTGTATTTTGTCCCACATTGCTATCAGTTGCAGCTAATGAGCTAATTAACATTAATTCCATGTGTTAGTCAAACCATTTTTTGGTGATCCCAGGTCATTTGTTTGATACCAGGAACTATGCAAACAGGTGTTTATTATGCATCTGATGGCTCAGTATATGATACCATGTAATGATGCAAATATTGGGCACTGTTGTCGTCAGATGTTGTCTAGTCCATATGCCAAAGCTCATATCACAATGTCTATTTACCAATATAGCCTAGTTAAAGTAATTCACGTCTGCATCAAAATGGAATTTTGCTGCGTTATGTGCAGTGTTTTGTGTGGGGAGTTTGTGGATTGAGTGTGCAGAGCAGAGCTACATGCATCTGTCAGATTCAGTGATTTTGCGACCACTGTGCTGCTGCCATACACCGCTTAAACACTGGCTCTGCACTGGTCTTACATCAGCAATGCTACACAGCCACAGAAGCAAATTTACTACCAAGGCATTCAATTATGAAGTTTCTTTCTTTTTGGCAGTTACTCACTTTCAGACAGTGTTTTCAGTCTGTTTTATAGATAATTAAAATTTTGGGTTTTTTTTCCTCTCTCTTTCTTTATTTAGTCATTTTAGTGAGTCGCTAAGACAGGAAACAAAGGAGACCTGTGACAAAGGTCGGCATATGGTGTGCTATACTGTAACAACTTGGCTATTGTGGTGCCCCCAACAATGTTATCAGTCTAAGCTGAGACTTGGGGGGGACTTTGTTGTACCTTACACCGTAGAGGGAGAATCACCACCTATGTAGCTGTAACAGTTTGAATTAGGTTCAAGGTAATCATGTTATAAAAGCAAAGTGTGACAGCAGCTGAAGAGCAGAAGGAAGTAGTGAGGGGAAAAAAGGACAGGGAGAGAAGTGCTGGTCACTGATGGGTCACTTACGGTCTCGTCAGTACAGATGGAGTGGATCTGGGTGCCAAACATCACAGAGGTGAAGATGAGGAAGAGGAGACCCTCAAAGCACAGGAATATGAGGAGGATGACTGTTGCTGGAGGAGAGAAGGAACTGCACTCTACGGGGTAGAGGCGCATGGAGGAAGACAAGTGGAAAGGCAAAGAGGATCATATGAAGAACTGCTACACAACAATCAAAAGACACCAGAGTACTCTACTGCAGACTCATCTGAGGCACTACTGTGAGGATGCAACACGTTAAAACAATTCTGCCCACCTGTCATCTGCATCAATATGAGGGAAAGGCTAGTGAGTGTTTGAGATCTGGGCTTAGGCTAGAGCATGTATCGGGCCACATATGTCTGTCTGAACTTGAGTTTGTATGTTGTTTTTCCGGTTACAATCAACATTTTTCTACAGTGAAATTACATTGTGAGGTTAAGACTGCAGTTTTGATAGACCTAAGAAAAAAGGCTCTCTTCTTTCATCTTTTTTAGGAGTAAAGGAAACTGGGGGATACAGAGGTTTAAAAGCACTCACTTGTCCAATCATCTTCAAAGCAGTATAGGAAATGGAAGACCACCATGACCAGAGCGTGGAGAGAGATGAGTGCAATATACATCTAGGTTTAAAAAAATGAATAGGGACACAATGAGGGACAATTCACCACATATACTAACTGCAAACAGAATGGTAATCACTGAGGAATCCCTCTCATCTGCATCTGTACAACATTACAACATTACAACATCATTGATTACCCAAGTAACACCTCCTTTCAAAGAGTTACAAAGTTCCTCACACACAGATACCTGTGTTACCTCACAACTGTACTGTCAAAAGGCTGAAAGTTGGTCTTTGACAGTCTTCTTCAGTTTAAAATCTAATACAGGTTTTTGGTGAGCACACATCATAAGACACTCACTGCTGCAGTGAACTTACTGTGAAAAGCACAAAATACTTTTGGTTGTTCTCCCCAACACAGTTATTGACCCAGGGGCAGTGGTGGTCCATCTTTCGTATGCAGCGTTTGCAAACACTGTGAGAGACAGCAAGTTACATGTATGGAAAAGATGAAGCAAACGCTGTAACAAAACTCCAAGGCGACAACAACTGGGCACAACAACAACTTTAGCATGACTTTGAAGTTGAACAGCTTGACTTCTTCACCGTACTGAAACACTGCAGCTCTAAGCACGCAGTTGGCTTTGTGAATACAGAATGCTGCATGCTCATTTTGCCCTACCTGCAGTGGTGTGCTCGGTCAGGCTTGATGCTGCAGCACTTGGGACATTTGTAGACCACCTGCCCTGGTTTCAGCTGAAGGCTTTCTATATACTCCTTAGTAGCGTTCCCTTTTGGCACCGCCCCCTAGTAGGAAACGACACCACACAAAAGATTCCGATAAGGTAAAACTGAGCAGAATGTGCAGCTCATTAATAAAATAAATACTGTAGGTAAACAGAGGCTAAACGTACTTTAGTTCCATAATACAGGGTGGGCCACGGAAAAGTAGCCCGAGCAAGTGGACTGTTTTGGAGTTGGGCTACTTTCCGTGGTCCACCCTGTAGTTCAGCTCCATTAATCAGGACTATTTAAAGCTCTACTCACAGGGTCAGTGCACATGGCCCTGAGGTGTGAGGCAATGGCAAGGAAGGCCAGAAAGTTGAACAGGGCCCCGTTCACAATGCTGTATGTCAGATTCTTGGAGGGCAGCAGCATTACAAACAGCACCACAAACTCAGCATACAACACCAACAGCCAGGTGATGATGGCGCACACAATGCCGCATGCGTCCCTGATGAACCACATGGCGGAGGCAGAGGAAGAAGTGATGACATCTTTGGAGATGGGGATGCGCTGCTCGGGCTGTAAGCAGCTGACTCCTGCCCTGTCCCCAGCCTGCCTACGCCCATGCTCCACATCCCTGCATCTGTGCACCGGGCTCTTCATCCTTCATCTAAGCTAGGTGCCTGCTGCTGTTGCTGCCACCAAACCCACTGCACCTTCAGGCCTCAGTCTCGGTCACCGCATGCTACGGAAAAAAGAGCAAGAGGTCAGAGACAAGCCCACAGTTTGAATCTCCAGAGAATCTCTGAGGGGGAAAAACATTATATTAATGGTTGAGTATGTTGTCCATATGCCTCAGATTTGTCTCATTTGTGTGGCTAAAGATTCAGGAGTGGATATATGTATATCTGAAACAAATGCAGACACAGACAATGTTCTGTTTAGAGGTTAAACAAATACTGTAATTCATTAGTTCATTTTAGGGCTGGACCCAAATATTCAACTATTCTTATATTTGTTCTTCGGGTAGGTAATTGGTCTTTAACTTTGGTGTTTGACTATTCAAAACAGCAGGAAATGCAGTCTGAGTCCGATGATGAAGAGGAAAGAGAACACAGTGGAGAAAGTGTGGTCCCCTGCTACTCGTATCTCTAAAAACATTGGAGCAAGTCTCCAAATACGCACGACTCAGATAGACCGACCAGATATTCTGAATCCTAATGGTAATTTCTTGCCTGGAAAAAAAACCCTCAAAAGGTAGAGTAACATCAATCCTAGGACTAAATATTCACAGATTCAAAGTTGCTGAATAATAATAAGTTAGATGTTGTTAAAACACAAATGAAGCCTCTTTCCAACCACAGTAAGGTAAACAGACAATAAGCTACAACCTCATTTTGATCAAAAAGAGAGGTTTCGATGAAACAGTGTTGGCTGTGACACAGAAGTGCAGGGACCATCTACAAAGTTCAACAATGAAATGCCACAAACTTTTTCAATATCTTCACTCTTAGACACATTTTTCCAAACTAAGTGTTGTGGTATAACCAACAGACCTGTGAAGTGAAGTGATTTTGGTGTCACTACCCTAATGCAGTGGTCTATATCGCTGCCATGTTTTTGAGATGTGTGTGTCACGCAAACAATATGTTCCTGTATTAATCATTCCAGCTGACTACACTGCCTGTGTCAGCCTGCGTATCACTTGCTCTTTATGCATGTAGCTGTGACCCAAAGCATATTCTTATGCTTCAAATCTAGTTTTTCTGTGCTATGTGGATAAAATGCTCCAAAGAATCCACCAAAACAATGAAAGCTCACTAGTTCCAACCAGAACTCCACCAAAACAGAGAAATACATTAGGCAGACAGTTAAAAAAAACATGATCTGTCATCTGTTACATCAATCATTCTAAATATGCAGTTCTTTTTAAAATGTGTAGTTTATTTTGGAGTTTTACCACAGGTTGGATACACTGTACATGCATATATTTCACATGTAGCCAGTAATTCCCTCATTGTGTACTATTTGTCAGAGTTTTGGATTGTAGATTTCCCTTTACTATGGCTTCTGTAGGCTCCTCTGTGTGCCCTTTGCATATCCAAAGCGGGACTAAACACACACCCAGTGCACACGAGCTGCTACGCCCTGCACAGACTATGCTATCGGTGTAGACACAGCTTAAGGGAGTATCTCTTTTTGGAGTATCTCTTTCTAGAGTTGCACTTTGTAGACAGAATAACAGAATAATAATAATAATCACCTTTATTTGGCCAAGTATGTTACACACAAGGAATTTGTTTCTGGTACAGAACCGAGGCAGCCATCTGCGGCGCCAACTCACACCGATGGCTCTAACCATCAGTGGCAACTTGGGGGTTCAGTGTCTTGCCCAAGGACACTTGGACATGTGGACTGCAGGCACCGAGATCCGAACCGCCGACCCTCCAGTTGGTCTGCTGAACTACAGCTGCCCCTGCAGTGCCTGTGTGCTCATCTTGTTCACTGTTGAGCGCATGTCTGAACGAAGCCCTGAGAAACATGAGTTCCCTATGTCTGAATGACAGAAAGCCATCACTTTAACAGATTAATGGCACCAGCAGAGGGTTGCAGGCCCATCTCAGCCAAGAATGGAGATGTAAGCATTCAAAAATAAGGGCAAAACTCCGTTTCATTTTCTTATTGCTATAGACTCAGAATCAGAACTCTTTGCAAATGTGCGGTTATGACCACCTGTACAAACCATAAAGCAATGAAATGCAAATAATTGTTAGCTATGTTCTACAATGAATCATATGACTCAGCAGATTTGTGAATGACAACAAAAGCATCCAATGCAGGTAATTATTACTGAAACTGAACTTTCCTCTTCTACAGTAAATTATACAGTGTAAGCTGGCAAAAAAAATCTTCCTTGCATTAAATACAGACCATAAACACTGTAACTCTCAGAATTGTTACCCCACAAAAAGATTATTCAAAAGGTACAAAAACAGACAGATTTAACACATTTCAATATTGAAGTCATAATGTATTGTATAATATCATTTGGGATCAGGTCTAAGCTGTCAGACAAATATCTGGGGAGTAAGAACAGTCAAGAGTCTTCTGCCATCTGGATGTACTAACACCGACATCCCATGACGAGAAGCCTGTGTGTGAGAGGTGATCAGGGGAGTCGTCCTGTCAGCCCCTTGTCACTGCAGGTGGACTCAGTGCCACAGTTCCTGGAGATGTATGGGAGATTACTGACTGGAAGTGGATGGCGAAGTCATTGACAGGTGGCAAACTATAACCTAGTGTCCGTACCGACACTTATTTAATTAACCCTGGATAATGTTATTGACTATTATACTTGTGTATAAATCAGCTCTTGTGGGTGAAACGGTCTGCATTTCTGTGTTAGGTAACCTTAAACACACTACTAACGTTAGTTTAAGCCAGGTAAGGTGAGAATAAAATGACTAGTAATGTCACCACTGAAATCACACACATTCACGCCGCGTCAATCCATTTTTGTTTACGCTAGCTACTTAGCTAACGTGCCAGAGTGAACATTTACCAACCTGCTTGCATGTACACTTCAGTTGTAACGCGGTAACCGCCCGGGGACGTCTGTCTACCTTTACTTCAGATTAATTATCATTAGATGCCACATAACCTTGCCTAAAAGGTAACCATCCCTGTGGCTAATTTAGCCACAGTTGAGTTGCTCCTTCTACTGCTCCCGTTCACCGACAACAAGACGTCATGACGTAGGGGAAACGAGCCAATGGGATAATCAGAAATGCTCCCACGCATGCCCAGAACAGGTCCCGAAAACATCCACACCATGGTCCACACACGCATATCTAGCTATCTATCCAAATTTTTGCAGCCTTATTCCAAAGGCAAACAAACCAAGGTTGTGTGTGTTGTATCATATCAGTATATATATTTTGAATGATCAGAATTCACTTGTAAAACCGGAACATCTGAAGATTCCTCTAAGGTTTCATATGAGGTAGTGCCAGATGGTGGTATTAAGCCTATTTTATTTTAAAGTACTTATTTTTAATCTCAAGTAGACAATACCTCAAATGAGTCATTTAAAATTAGTGCAAAATTACATATCAGTTATATTTGCTGCTTGATGATCTGAACAGCGTCATTTGAAGATGATCTTTCAATGTGAAATTTCCTGGTTGACCAAATTAACCAAGACACTGATGTTTTGAGTAGGCCTGTTTCCTAAAATGTACTCCTTACCCTTATTTATACTGCCTTAACATTTCATTGTTACATTTTACACATTTTCATTATCTAACTATTCTGTAATAGCCTACATTTAAAAAAATCAGAGCATTTTAATTCTTTTATCATTTAAGCCAGATCATTTAATATTGGTATTCTGTGTTCTATGTTCTATGATTGTGTGCTCAGTATACAGTTTCCCTATGACTGATTACTAAATCTTCAAAGTTAGCAATTTGCTCAACAGTCATACTAATATATACATACTAATAATTACTAATAGTAATAATGCCACTGTTGAATAATCATCAAGTTTAATTTTGATTGATTAGCTGACTTCTGGATGATAATGTGGTTGAATAATTTATTAACTAGTATTTTAACTTAGCTAGTTAATCAATTCAAGGATTACATTTGCATGCATTTAAAATTTGTACTGACAAGTGAATCACATTTGAACTTGTATTTTTCATATTTAGTAAAACCATCACTAATTCACTAAGTCTTTTGGTTTGCCTGGTTCATTACCCATCAGTGTTATATGTCTAACAAAAGTCTAAATGAATGAGGTTTGTAGCACTCCATACCTCTAAAACTTCAGTCATCACTAGAGGGCAGTGCCATACAGACAACTCTTTCTGTATGACTATGACTCATTGCTCTTGGCTTTGGGCAAATACAGTACAGTACTGAACTGCAACCTACACAGGTACATTTTAATGTTACAGTGGTTTCAGACTGACAGCCTTTCCACTGAGTGAAACTATCACATGAAGTGTAACACGGGATCTTGCACAATCATGCCTTGCTTTTTTTGATTAATTGATAATTGTATTTACCCCAAAGCACAGTATTTAAACTATAAGTCATTAAAGCAGTGTATCTTTCAGTCTACAACTCAACAACCTAATATTATAGAATAATATCATAGAATCTTCATCTCAACTGTCACTCCTCAGTTGTCCACATGCCCATGGGTTTTATTTCCTGTTGCAATTACTTGACCTTCTCCACCAGCTCCAGTCATCTGAAATTTCTCGCCCACTCACACACTTGTTCCTAGCTTCCTCGTTATCCTAGTCAGTAGTTAAACCTGTTTGTTCCACCTGCTTCTTGCCAGGTTAATGTGTTTCTCATGCTGTGGACCTTGTTCAGTTGCTGGTCCTGCTGCCTTAACTGTTTCCTTTACCTGCCTGTCTGCTACCTGGAAGCCTTGGTTATCATTATTTCTATTCAACTCACTGCACCTGCCTGGCTGCCTCATGTGTCTGCATTTAGAGTAGAGGAACTGTGACAGCTACAGCACAGGTAGATATTCTCAACTTTGGTCCCTAATGGTGCCTATGGAGATTCTCACTCTTCCAGGACATGATGTATATGCCGTGTTAAGGTTGGCATCTGGACTTGACTGAGGTTCTTGGAGATGTTTCACGACTCGCCCAAGAAGTATCTTCAATTCTGACTGATGGGTGGCGAGGAGGATCTTCAACAGACACCACATCCCTGTGCATTTCAATCCCAGCAACATTCTGAGACAGAAGCTGGTCCACCCTAAGGACAAAACACCTAGACATAAGCAGAGTAATGTAGTATTTGCAGTTCAGTGGAGCAAAGAGTGCCAGGACTTGTACACTGGTGAAACAACCCAATCACTTCACAAGTGCACAACACAGTAGAGCCAACTCCTCAGGATAAAACTCAGCAGTCCATTTGCAATTGAAGGACAAGGGACTCTTCTTTGAAGACTGCAATGTAGACGTCTTGGTCAGAGACACTGCTTATCAGCCACATGCAATGCAGCAGTGACATCCCTCCCAAGAAAAGAGGTTCCTCACAAAGTGTCAGTTGGCCTGCATCAGTCAAACCAAATGTACTTCACTGCTCAGCTGCTCCATGAATGTGAACCATTTTTAAAGCTAGCAACATCAAACAGTATTTGCACCTGACACATGGGAATTTTCAGCCTCATGTGTCATGAATGAAAATGATGATAGACAATGAAAATGTATTTATTTGTGAAAGAGATCAGACTCTCCTCGTCTTCCTTCTTATAATATCATTTATAATGCAAATTCAAAGAGGGAGATCATATCTTGAAGAGAAATTTTTTTGGTTCTTTTCTTTAAAATCAGACCGAGAGTTAACACAGATCCACTGCACTTAGACAGAGAATCTGAAAAGAAATATTATAAAACTTGATTGGTTCTGTTGTTTGACTATTTCTGTATAAAAGTGTGTTGATGTTTCAGATCAGTCCGATCAGCAGCAGTGCCCAACCAGCAGATAGTCAATAAAGCACTGAGTTAGTAAAAAACTTCTGCTTGTAGAGTAGCTCCTCAGAGATCCCTCCTCACTCCTCAGAGTATAGATAGAAGTTTTGGGACGCCCTTCAAGAGGACTGACAGGAGCAACTTCTGGGTCAAGAGAAGAGCAAAGAGCAATTTAATAAGTTTAGTCAGCCTCAGCAAAGACATCTGAGATCAACAATGGGAACTACTTCCTCTACTATATAACTTTAATAGTGCAGCAAAATGTAAAGCATACATGAGAGTTAATCATTGTATTTCACCATGAAAACACCATTTAAATATAATTTCTAATATGTAATTTTTATCTTATTGGCTGCATTGAGGTGGATTCACCCTCACAATAGTTACGATGAACACAGCTTTGGTTGAATCAGCAAAGGATGTTCCTTCTGCGGGAAATGAAAAACCTCAGTGCCTCAAATCAAATCCCCCTTAAATTCTGCTGGACATCCAACAAAAGCATTCGTTCATTTTCAATCACTGTTTGATTCTTTTTTGCATGTAGTCCAAATAGTTTTCCTCTGGGAATTGCCACTGAGTCATTAAGAGCAGAGTTTGAATTTAAAGAGGCATTCTTACACTAATCAGCTTCTCATGAAACACTTGGGAGGCCTCAAGCCTCTCATGTGTGATTCCTACTGTAAATACTCTCCTAAGATTTATTTAATCTCCTACAAGCTACTTCTGTTTCTTACCTTATAGTCTCTCCAATAGGGTCAGTCCAGCAACCATGTAAAGCAATCATAAAAAGATATTACTTCAGTTTGCTTCAGTGGAGAATTTAATGTCCCTCAGTGGCTATTTCAGAGGCTTTTCCACATTGTCAGAAATGTAAATTGCTGGCAGGTCACTTGAAACTATTACACTAACAACTGGCACACTGCTTTTTAGCTTTAATTGTTAAATTGCATTGGTGGAATTTCAGCTACACAAGGCCACGTATTCATATTCATTGTTGTATTCACAACATACATTATCTCACTAAATCTGCTGTAAAATAGGTTTCTGTATAAATGTGCATCTATTCCTCACATCTTAATGGAGCAGACAAGTGAGGGGAATATGGACACAGTGATGATTCTCTGGAGAATCAAAGAAATGTACTCTCTGTGTGTCCGTCCTGTGATAGACTGGCCACCTGTCTGGGGTGCACCGCGACTCTACCATAATACCAGCTGGGATTGGCTCCGGCCCCCACATGACCCTAGTCTACAGAATAAGCCTTATAGATAATGGATTCATTGTAATTATTGCTCAACTGCTGCAGTAGTCCAGCAGATATTGCCCTAGAAAGCCAGTTGTTATATTGCACTTAAGGAGGCATTCAATGTTTGTTAGAACTGAGAGCTTTCACAGCCCTGTGAAGAAAACTGTGTTTGAGCCTGGTGGTCCTTTACTAGTCCTGTAGCACCTGCCAGAGGGCAGCAGATCAAACAGCTGCTGTTCTCATAGAGAGTCTTTTGAAATGTTTTTAGCTTTACAGAGTCACTGGGAACCGGAAATGTCTTCCAGGGAGGTTAGAGGGCAGCCAATGATTTTCTGTACTGTGTTGATGGCTGTCTGAAGAGCTCTCCTGTTTGCTAATGAGCAACTGGCACACCAGGCTAAGACTCAGCATGCCAGTACACTGTCAATGAAGGAAATGTGGAAGGTCACCAGCAGCTTCTTTGCAGTTTACCTGTTGCAGTCTAATGCAATAAAGGCTACTTTTAGGATGCCTATAATGTTATAATTATAGACATGTTTTAGCACAAAGAAGGTGTTGTACCCATCTGCTCTATATGTGCTTCTAATATTCTACTGTTGTCATATATGTAACTTGAAAGGACAACAAATGAGAAACACCTCTCCATAAAGTGTAGTCCAGTACAACACTACCTTTAACTATCACCTCAGTAGTAAACATAATTGAATTTGCACATTTCAGCGAATGTCGCCAAAAAAGACAATGTACACTTTGTAAGAGTGTCCACTGAGTGTACATGTAAAGCATTTTTATACACATCGAAATACACAGTACAGTCACCCTAAACTCCTCTTGGACTAAATAATGGGGGTAGCTGTGGTTCAGGAGGTAGAGCAGGTCCTGTCTTAACTGGAAGGTTGGCTTCTCCAGTCCACAAGTGTCCTTAAGCAAGACACTGAACCCCCAGTTACTCCCAGTGATGTCACAAGTGTGTAAGTGCTTGGGAGTGGAAATGGGTGAATGGGCAAATGGTGAGAAAGTGCTTTGAGTGTGCTGCAATGCATATAAAAGTGCTATAGAAGTATAAGACCATTAAAATAAAATGTCTTTATGTTTGTATGTATGTATGATAAAACATACTGTATACTGCTAACTCATCTTGCTATATAAACTATTGGTATGCACCTGTTCTGCCCTCACCAAGCTCAGTTCCTCTATTTCATGACACTTACTGAAATAAAGTGACTGTGATTCTGATACCATTATCATATGAATAGACTATGCTTGTCATCTTTGTTCTCTAAACAAAAATCAAATGAGAAAAACTGAGGGCATTTTTATATCCCCTGTCAAGAAGAAAATAATTATAACACCTACTCATGGCTCACTCCCCCTGAGCCAAACAGCCACTCAATATAGATTTATTACATTTGACAATTTCCATTCACCTTTCTCTCTGTGTTTTCCACAGGGTCTGCTCAGCCAAGCAGCAGGATGAGGTATTCATGTACCAGTGAGATGTCAGCATTAAGCTGTTATATACTCCAACATATGTCCTCCAGAGAGGATAATGACTGCTGTGTGAATTATGGCTGTGCAATCATCCTGTGTGAAGGAGGCTTGAGAAGACTGGGGACAGAATGTGTCCAGTGAATAAAAATGCCCTAGTGGTGACTCACCAAAGCTCATACTCAACCTTTATCTAATCTTATCTGCCTTACTTCCATTTCCTCCTCACACATGCTTCCATTATGACTGTCACTTTATATGTGCGGTTATCTCTGCCTGCCCACCACCACCTTTTTTCTCTGTCCTTGTCCACCTGTCTCAGCCCTTTTATCAAAGCTCCCAAACCAGGATAGATTCTGCTCATGTTTCTCCACTCACACTACAATCTCTTTAATGCTGTTCTTTCAGCACATTGGCGTGGCAGATGGTCAGAACGCCTTTCAAAGAGACATGGAGGGAGAAGGAATAAGGCTTGATTAATGGTGCCATATTAACTATACAGGGCAGGCATGTCTATAACATTGTTTCACATAATCATGCTGTAATTTTGATCTATAATTAAAGCCTTTCACACATTTAATGATAACTTTTTTGCTCCAAGAATTTCCATAATGTTGGGAATGAGTCACAGCGGGTTGTCAAATACTAATTTCAGAAAGAGGCTTGCTGTTAATACTGCACCTCAAGAATAGCTTGCTGGATCAAAAACTGTTTTCCACTAGTTAATGTATTGTCTCTGTTGATTTCTGCAGCCAGGTGCTGAATTGCTAAACCATTGTAATGCCCAACAAATGATCATCTCACACATTATATATGCATTTAGCATATAGACTATACAGTGGCAGCTTTACCCTCAAAGCTTATAGTAGTTTTTAAAACAATGGGTCCTGGGTTGAAAAAAGCAGCTTCCCATTTGTAGAAGGTGACTGAACTGTTGATAGCAGGTTTTATCAGCTACTTGCAGCTCGATCAAACTATTCCTTTGTTTTAATACAACCCATTGTGGCTGCCTTCTTGCTGGTCTTTTTAAACAGCATGTTTAACTGAAGGCAAATGCAATGCTATCCTGTGTGATGTTGGCTGGGGTTGCTGAAAAGCAAATTTCCTAAAACCCAAATAAGAGCAAGCCAGAGCCACTGTGTAGCACAGACAGAGTGAGAGCTAGCCAGCCATGAGAAGCTACTATGGTAGAGAGCATTACCAGTGTGTTTACTATATCTGTTTGAGAGAGTTGCAGTGTGCGTACCTGTGTTGTAGTTGAGCCAGTGGTGTTACTATGAGAAGCTCTCTGGTGTGTGTCTGTGGGGGAGTATGTAGCCATAGCGCTGTTGTTTATCACTGTTAAAGTTACTATCTGTCAAACCTGAATTACAGTACATACCGTAGCTCCGCATTTTACAAATATAGGCTCAGCCCTCTAAAGTTATGAGTGAATAAAACTTTAAATATCATCAGGTCTTATTTAATTAGATTAATAAAATGTAATAAATTGGACATCTGTCTAAACAGACAGAGAGAGAGAAAGGGAGAGAGGCAGGGACAGAGTAAGTGCACTGACTGTCCTTGTACTGAAATCATAAATGGACATAGTGACAAACAAGAAAAACAAAGAAATGAACTAATAACGTGACACAGCCTTGGTAAGGCCGCCTTTCAAGGCTAAAACAACAGTGTTCCCTGTCTCTCCCATACAAACACAATCCACTGTATAAAACCCTGCTGAAGACAAGTGCACTTCAGCTTATATCAGTGCTGTTTTTATGACAAGAAATGAGAAATCAACATCTAATAGGCCTCCAGAAAAGAAGGTTGTTTCAGCAGCTGGCAGCGGAGTGAGGAACAAGTAAGACTTTTACAGGATCATTTTTCTCAAGCTTTTGCATTCACAATGTCTTATTAGAGATTCAGCAGGGACACTATATCTATATTTTGTCTGTCTCACCTCGCTACATCATAACGTAGTAAACAATGTGCAGATTAGTATGTCTGATTGTGGCTCACCATAATGAGGGGAACAAACCAACCAAAGTTATATCAGGAGAATTTAATGATGAGGAAAGTTGACAAACACTGAACAGAAGAACAGAAACGCTAACAAACCCTACAGTAAAAGCAGGAAATAGCAGCTGAGATCTATGGCCACTGTATTATAAAAAGAGAGTAAACAGAGGTGGATAGCGCTGACATCCTGCTGAGATCTAACTAAGGCTCCATCCATTACTATTCCTGCTCCCACTTTGTGTAGTTCTGGGTGATTCATACAGCTTTGATCATCTTTCAATGGGAGTTCACTGCTGAGGGATGATTTTTTCATCGTCACAGCTCACAGCATCTGTTCTAATAGGAATCGTGATCAATTTCAAGAAAACAGGAACAAAATAGATGGCACCTTTTTTATACCGCAACCTAGTTCTGAGAACTGTACAGTGTTGACAATCAACAACACCATCAGTGACCCATTTATAGCTTCATTCAACTCCAGATGCATGTGTTGCACCATATGTCACATATAATTTTACCTTTTTTTGATAATGATATTTATTAATCTAATCAAACTTGCTGCTCAGCCCAAACCATTCCAGTCAAGTGCTACTGCTGTGTGTTCTTAGGCCACTGGTCTTTGCCTTCCTCATTATGGAAACATCAGAAGTAGAGGTAGAAGTAAAATGTATTAATTCACATTCGTGGAAATTGCATTACTCATCATGAGCCTTCATCATATAAAAACAGACACACATACTGTATTTATCATTAAGCTACATCGTTAATATAATGTAGCAAGTCCCTGCAAATGTTACACCAAGGCTGATATGACCTTAATTTTGAAAACATCAGAATACTGATTGACCACACACACACACAGAGAGAGATAGATAGATAGATACATAGAGAGAGAGAGAGAAACAAAGAGAGGACTGTAAGCACATTTGTGAGGTGCTTCTTTAAATGTCACTTATTTCAGAGGTAAAGGCTATAAAATAATACAAGTATATTGTAAATACACTATTATGCCATTGTATATGATATATGATCTTTCTACTTTGTGATTCATTAACACTAATTCTTTTGGTTCTAACAAAAAACCCACAAACTAGTGATTTTCCCATCAGTCTCAGATATACTTTATGTTTTAGGGCTAATGAGCAAATGATCCCTGACAGAAATGAAGAGGCAAAAGTGGACTGCTGCAGGAATTTGCATGTTATATGTACAGTAACAACAGTAGAAACACTTCTGTATTTCATGTTTGCATTACTGATTTTGTACTGTAATTTCCACAACAGTAACAAATTGCTTAGTGCCCCTATCGTAGGTGATGATAAAGTTTGTAAAATTAGACAGTAGTTTTTAAGGTTTCTCTTATTGGAGCACCTCTGACTATTGTGAAAACTATGAGACCAGACTGACAAGGCAAAGAGGGCTCAGAGGGTTTTGGATAAATGCTTATAATTGTTATAATCATCCCTTGTCTGCAGCCTGGCAGTAATTCTTACTTGTAACCTGGATCACAAAATGTTTCTTTCATTTTAATTATGATGATGATGACCAGAAAATGTTCCTTTAAAATTGTGTTTCATAACTGTAGGAGTACTGTCCAATTACAAAGATGCAACTAAACCTTTCCAAGGGCAGAACACAGCTGTTAAACCTTGGACATAAGGTCACACTAATCATCAGAGGGAAAATACAGGTGCAATGGAAGTGATTATCTGCTAATGCGATGTAGTTCATACTGAACTCACCAGGTGAAACACTGGATATAAGATCTATATAGGACTACATGCCTGTGGATATTAATAACACACTTTTTTTTCTACAGGTGAAGCATCAAGCAAACAGTGTTGCAGGACTGTGCAAACAGCAGAGGATACGTTGATACGGTTGCGTGGCTGGAGCTCATGACTGAGCTGTGGAGAAACCACCACCACTGAAAATCTGATGTATGCTTATAAGACATTTTGCTGACAAGTGTCAAACCAGCTGCAGAGAGTAGCCTGTTGACAGCATTCCTGTGTGTGTATGTCCTTAGGTTTGACCTCCACTTGTGCGATTACTTAGAGAAGGCAGCACTCACACTGTGTCAGCTGAGAACAGCCCTCTGCCATTTTAGGTCAGATTAGACTTCAGGCGATTTGGCAGACAGTGCATTAAACTACACTAGAAGCAGTGTTTAGTTTGACACCTGATTTTGATTTGGCTTTAGTCTTTTGACAAGAATGCTTGTTAGGTCTTGTCACATTTGAGTAATTTGATTTTTAACATTTTCAGCTGATAAAAACTAAAAACCTAAACCCATCCCTTCTAATAGCAAGATAAAGTATTGCATTAGGTTACTTTTCTAATGCATGCTTCTTATCTAATTCTCAGTGGATGATAGATGAATGTAGTCCATCAATCCAGTTCTGCTAAGAACTAGTACTGTCAAAGAACAGCATTGACTGACATATTATGTTACTGAATATAAGATGTTGTTTACTAACAGTAGTGTAACAGGTTAAGTGGCTAAATTACCTTCTAAACAAGAGATAGCTGGGAGGTGGAGGAAACTTCAAAGGCTCAGCATCAAAACAATAATTATTCCTTGGTCGGTTCGATAGTCTTTCACAATATTGTTTAGTTTTTGCTTGTTGACAAAAACTGAAAATCATTTATTCATAGTAAGTTTCAATGGTTAATTTTTATATAGTTTTCACTGACAAAATTAACATTGACTAGTAACTCAAAGGGAAATTTCAGACTGAGATAGTGAAGCATCGTACCTCAGGCAGAATCTTCAAAGGACAACATTACTGTTTAAGTTGTTGCAATTCATGTTAATTGGCTTTACTGTCTAGTTAGAATGGGACCTTGGCAAACTATGAATGCTACATCAGAGAACCAGTCAGACTGCCCCGAGGTAAACGTCCCCTTCGCTGTCTTCTTCGCCATTGGAGTAGTGGGCCTGGCCATGAACCTCCTGGTTGTGGTGGCTGTCATATGGAACAGGAACCTTCACTCGCCCATGTATTGCTTCATCTGCAGCCTGGCGGCTTTCAACACTGTCGCCAGCCTCATCAAAATGTGGGAGAACGTGATGATTGTTTTGGCTGACATGGGACAGCTGGAGAGGAGAGATTCCTTTGTAACCAAGCTGGATGATGTGATAGACTCCCTGCTGTGTATGTCATTCGTTGGCTCCTTTTTCAGTTTCCTGGCTATTGCTGTGGACCGGTATGTATATATGTAGGAGCTAGATTTGCTCATAAGATGTTTTGGACAAGTGTTTACAGTACCGTATCTTTAAACTATATATTGTTAAGAGGGATGGAGCTGAATCTTTGAGGTATGGACAGTTTTCACCCAAGCTCACAAATTCACCAGAAGTCCCCCTTTTAATGGCGTCATAATGCAAAAACCTTTTCTGGTTTATTTTAAAGAGAAATTTGATTGAAAAACTCATTTAAAGAGCCCATGGCATGCTTTTCCTTGTTTTCTTACTTATCTAATGGTGAATTATCATCAGACAAGATCTAAAGCTCAAAAAATGAGGTGTACCAAAGTTCTAGTCCTTCTATGCAGAAACAAGTCTTGCTTATGAGGATTTTTTTCTAACAAAATTAAGTCTTAGGTGATAGCTTAAGGATTTCCTTGAATGGTCATAATCTCCAGGCAGTTGCACATTCATGTGATCTTGCCTGGCATCCTCCGGTGCCATTGTAAAAGTGATGTTTCCACTACTCAGTGGGACTTAATAGTAAGTGTAAAAAAACGCAAGTTGCATGTCTGTTAATGCCTTGTTTCTGTAACGTTAGAGAGAACTGCTGTAAGGCTGGAGAAGTTACTATGTCTGCATTATGACAGTTAAAATATGGCAGTAATTACTCGCTTTGTTTAGAGGGTTACACATCTCTTTTCATCGGCTCATATAGCGCTGTTTACCCTCTATGGAGGAGAAATTCAAATTAATGAATGCTGTTGCAGTTTGTTGTACTGTCCACTTTCAACACAACACTGGCGGCAGGAGTTGTGCATGTACACAAACTGTCCTCTTGTTTTTAGGAAGAGGCTCTCTGGAGTTATCATTTTGAAATAATTACCGACTATGTGGAGTTATGATGGATGCAAAGCTAATCTAGAGGTACCCAAGATTAAACATTAAATGGCTGGAAATGAGCAAAATGAGCATGCCATGGGCGTTTTAACTGAAAGAAACAAGAATCATGGTGGGCACAGTAAACAAAAAAAGAGATTTATTTCTTCTGGTTACCGCTGTGCTGAGTGTTTGAACTGTCTCTCTATGGATCCTGGCCCTATAACCAATTATCCTCTGCTCATATTTAAAGTCAAAGCAGGCCTCACTAACTATGACTCTAAGGATGTGAGAAACTTCCCTACTAGTCTCTAACTCACAGACATACAACTAATTAGAGGCCAACTTCAATGCTTTCTGCATGTTTTATTACATATCATACTGTGATGTTACTGTTCAGCATGTTTTTTTCCAGACAGCCTCTCATTTCAGATCATGCCAGTATGGTATGACAACACAAAGTGACAAAAAATGCCTGTAACCTATCAAAGTGAATGTTTAGCTGTCTGTATTATTTGTTGTTTTATCATCACATAGTAACATAAAGCAGACAGGGACTTCTCTACTTCTGTGTTCAAATGCCCACAGAAAGCTTTAATATCTCAAATCTACCATCTAAGCAGGCTTTATAAAGCTACTGCCCTAGACTGCATACAAACCTTAACTAGATACAGATGTCATAAAATGGGCAATGACATTTTAGAGATTTGTAGTATAAATCACCTGAATGCATTGACTTAGAAGACTTTATACAGTCTCCGATCACAACCATCCAAAAATAATGTAATTGTTTTAATGTCAACTTGTTTACTGCTACTGATAACCCTAATCCCTGGAAGATGCTCTACAGCAATGACATTTATTTCCCAACATTTTGTTTTGCTTTCAGACCCTCATTAAGTATTTGCCCTTTTTAAAGCTGCATTCAGTAATTCTTGGCCATTTGGAGGAACATAAAAAGCTGAAAACCCATTAATATCACCTTATAAAGTTGTGATGGTTTACACATCCTGCAGACATGACACAATATTCAGATTCATTTAGAGTTGTGTTTGTGAAAAATGTAAGTCCAGTATTCACTGCATCTAGAAAAAAATATACTACATAGACCTCATGTAATGTGTGGCATTAGCCTGGTGAATTAAATGGCCACTAATAAAAAAAAAAAGGAAAGAAAATACAGGAGGAACTTCAGAGTTGGGTGTTAATTCTCTCTGGGTTTGTCACTACACAGTCATTTACCCAACTGTAACATAACAATCTTACAAAAGAGGTTATAATCAATATTTTTTATGTTGTCTCAGATCATAAAACAACTTTTATGTGATAGGGGAGCTCATAGTGACAGAACCAGAAATAATTACCATCTGAATCCACAGTTCCCCCCAGCTCTATAAATGAAGCTTTATATCAGCTTAGGGTTTTGCTTTTACAACCTGGTGCACTGTTGTGGTTCACTATAAATCCTCTCATAAATCTGCCACAGCAGGCAGCTGGTTGGCTGCAGCAAATAAGAAAAAAAACACACTCTAAAATCCCTTGTATGCACCTGGCTTCAAACAGCAGGCATGGCTAGCAAGCTAGTGAACATAATGAAGATTTATTAGCCACAGAGCTGCTGCTAAAGGCATTCCCTCAGGTGCTGCATATCAAGTTAAAAGATGAAAGTATGTTAGTGCTGAGTTTACAGCTTGTTTTTGCTGCCCCCAAGTAGCAAGGCGTAAAGTCTAAGTAGATTACAGTTATTTGTTTTCATTTTCAGTTACATCACCATCTTCCATGCGCTGAGATACCACAACATCATGACAATGTGTCGCACCAAGGTCATCCTGGGTGCCATCTGGGCAACATGTGGGGTGTCGGCTGTGCTCATGGTGATGTTCTTTGAATCCAAGTTCATCAAGATCTGCTTTGTCATCTTGTTTGTCGTCTTCTTGGTAATCATCTGCTTCCTCTATGTCTACATGTTCATGCTGGCACGCATCCATGCCAGGAAGATCACAGCTCTGCCGACCAGCAGCGGGCGGAAATGTCGCCGCCAGCAATGGTGGGGGAGCAGCATGAGAGGGGCCCTGACTCTCACCATCTTGTTTGGGGTATTTGTGGTGTGTTGGGCACCATTTTTCTTCCACCTCATCATCATCATGGTGTGCCCCATGAACCCATACTGTGAATGCTACCGATCGCTTTTCCAGCTACATGTGGTGCTGATGATGAGCCACGCCGTTATCGACCCTGCCATCTATGCCTTCCGCAGCGCTGAGCTCAGACACACCTTCAGGAAGATGCTGCTTTGTTCAGACTGGAAGCATTACTCATAAACAGATCCCATTTATACAATTTATTTTAGCCTTTACTTATCCACAGTTGATCTTTACCTGCAGACACCTTTAAATTCGCTGGCAGTCAACAATACATTGTGCTGCCACTGAGTAGCAGGGGGTCAGGGTCACCCTGGAGCAAATAGTCCATTTTCTTCCTTGACTTTACCCTAACTGGTATTTGAAACTAGGTAGATCAAAGCTACTGGATCCTGTACAATTGTTTTTTTGTGTTCAACTGAGCACATTTTATTTTTCTTCAGTTTGCACACACCTAAAACTGATGTTTTTTTTCATTAGGTAACAACCTAACAGCAGTCTGTCTTCTAAACATCAATTTCTCCTCCAAGACCTTATTTCACTTCAAATCTTGATTGAAATGACCCATCTGCACCACATTTACACGAGACATGTTTTCTAGAACCAATTTTACTTAAAGTGCTTTTTTTTTTTTTTTACATGGATCATACACAATTTCCAACATTCACAAGACCAGAAATGTACAGCTGATGAGAACATTATGAAAGCAGATCTTCATTTTGACTTTAGCATTTATTCAGACACATAAATAAAATAATTCATTTTAAGCAACACAGGGAACACTGACATCAGCCATCCATCCATGTTCTACCGCTTAGTCCCAAACGGGGTCACGGGGGGCTGGAGCCAATCCCAGCCGGCTGTGGGCGAGAGGCGGGGTACACCCTGGACAGGTCGCCAGTCCATCGCAGGGACACTGACATCAACCATTTCCAATGTAGCTCACATTTATATTTCTGTATGCCATCACTTTACTATTAGCTAACAGGAAATACTTCAGTGGACTTACACGTAGGACTAAGCATGCAATTAGCACTCAAGAGATGGGCTCTGTTCAGTGTCAACATACAGTCACTCACTGTTTCTGTGGAAACAAGAACTGACTTCTTTAGATAACAGTGAATCAATTTGCATAAGTGCACAGATATATCATGATGAAGTTGAATGTACATTCGGCAAAACTGAGTTATTCTTCAAATCTATGGGAAAGAAAAATAAATATCATTGTGTTTTAATAAATGCTCTTTTCAGTGTAGTGTATATTTGTATGTTTACTCATATGTTCATTTTCTTTTCTCACAACTTTTAAACATAACAAACATTAATGGAGGTTATATTAATTACAATACAAAACATCAAAGTTGTTCCAAAAATGTCTTGAAGATACATCTAGTATTTATAGCTGGCTTCTCTTTGCAATAAATATTAATATATAACACTGGATGTTTAGTGCGTACCATACAGCAATGATGCATACTATTTTGTATGAAGAGCAGATGGTTGATACTATGAAGAGTCCTCTGAAGCTTCTCAGCTGGGAGGTAGGCATCAACAGCACACACTTACAGAGAGCACTGTGAAGCTCTTTGTACATTATTTTCTTTACATCTCAAGTGTGACCTTCTGGCATCTTTACTTACTGCTTACTTATATGATATGGGAGACTGAGTGACTCTGCATCCTAATCATAGCACAAACTGTTGTGCTGCTAACCGTTGGCAGATTTAAAGCTACAATATGTAATTTAAGGTTGTGCTGGCATGACACACTAAATCATCCCACTCCGCTCCGCCCAGCACTCCCTCTCCTTGCTCCACTATGCTCTACTACACTCCACCACGCTCTGCACAGCTGTTCAGATATTTATCATTATGAAATTACAATAAATGAGAATGCAACAAAACTTGCTGATCAGAAATAATTGAAAATCTCTGATTGGTTAGAGAGGTCAGTCAAAACCCTTTAGAAGCTAATACCTCTGCACTGCTGCCAGTGCTGTCCAGTGAGTCTGGTCACAGGAGGCTTCGACAGCACATTTCCACATTAAGATAAGTTTTAGATTTCTCCAAAAAATATTTGACAAATCTTACAGTACATACTGTCACTTTAAGGAAGTTGATTGTTATCTGTAATGCAGCAACAGGAGGGAGCCAGGGCACAGAGCAGCAGCAACAGAAAATGGACTGTTGACAGATAAATCTGTCCAACCATTCAGCAGCAGCCAAATTAATAATCTGCAAAAGGGACAATCAGTCTATTAGATACATCAGGAGAAAATGATCTGCTCAACAGTTAACCTTGAGTGAACTTTGAAGACTTGTATCTGGATTAGATGTAAGTTCTCACAGTCAAATAACCAAAGAGGTTTGTTTTGCCTTCCAAAATGATGTGAAAACACTGTCATTACTGGCAGAAGGACGTAATTTGTCTTTGGTTTACAAACCTGTTACAAATGGCCGTGGTTGATTCAAAGGTCAAATTTCTAATCTGCTGCTGCTTCTAAGTTGATGATCAAGATAGGCTGCACTCTCTCATGTGTTTGTTGCCACTGCCTTTCTTCATTTTCTCAGCCGTCTGCAACCTGTCCCGGATTACCTTTACCAGAGAAGAGCTCTTAAACATCAGACAACTCACTCCGAATACCTTTTCTCCCATTTTTGCTATCGCAGACAGCTGTGGCGACATTTTAGTTGGAGGGACAGCAGTTCTGTACAGGACCTGGAAGAAATGGCAATGCGGAAAACATTACAACAGTGAGGGCCCCAGATGCCGCTCCTGTCTATCCATTGAGCAAATCTCTGCTCTCTAGCCAACAAAATAGAGGAACTCCTTCTCATCAACTGGACTAAATCTGACTTCTCACGCTCTGCTGCTCTATGCTTCATGAAGACTTGGCTCATTTACTCTATCTTGGACAGTGCAATAAAAATACTGGGGTTTCAGCTATACAGAGTGTACCAACCCGACACTAGTCCTACTAGCTCTGCTACCCAGCAGAGCATAATCAGCTTGATGCCAGCCCTGCTAGTTCTGATACCCAACAGAGCATGACTAGTTCGATGCCAGCCCAACCAGCACACTCTCCTGAGTGTGACCAGTCCTACACAAGCCAGCCAGCTTGCTACTCCTGGTAGTGCCTTACCAACCAACCGTCCCGTTATCACTGTCACTCCAGCCAAGTGCGTCCTGCTCAATGTTTCTTCTGTACTTGGCTCCTCTTTTGTGGCATTCCGGATCGACGCTCGTCTGCAGGCCCCACTGCTCCAGTAAAGCCAGCTAGCTCAACGCAAGTCCCCAGCTATTCTGCTTCATCCAGTCAGTGAGATCCTGCTGTTATCACGCCTCAGCCTCACCTATCAGCCAGCCACCAACCCAGTGCCATCTGTCATCACTGTCATCACGCCACTGGCTCTGGCCTCTTACCAGTCTGCCACTCTACGCCAGACAGTTCCTCCCTGATTCAGTCCTACCTCTCCTTCATCAACCACCTCACCATCTGGCCCAACATTGTCAGCCTGAACTGCACTGGTGCAGCTGCTTCCCTGTGCTGCGGCTGGTCCCTCTCCTGAACTGTGTCCCCAGCTAGAGCTTCTTGCTCCCGTCTTCCCAGCATCCCATCAGTGCAACCTGCTAGCTTCTACCCTACCTTGGGCAGTACCTGTCAACAGTGAGCCACTATTGTGACTGTGACTTGTTTTTATTATTCTCTGAACTTATGTACAATAAACTTCTTAAAACATTTCATTCATTTCATTAAGTCCAGGACTTAAATTCAGAGCTATTGGTCATAACACTTTTTATCACTTACAAACCATTTTATTTACAGAGAGAATTTTCCTCACTCATTCTAGTAGGAGTGTATATATCACCACAGGCTCACACTAGCGCACTACAGCACCTGGCAGAACAGATAACTAGTGGGGAACTGAAACATCCCAACTCTCCACTCATTGTTCTAGGGGATTTTAACAGAGCAAATCTCACCCATGAACTCCCCAAATACAGACAGCACATCACCTGCCCCCCCGGGGACAAAAACACATTGGACCACTGCTACATGTTAATAAAAGACGCCCATCGCTCTGTTTCTCATGCAGCCCTCAGACTGTGTGATCACTGCATGGTCCATCTAATCCCAACACATAGACAGAAACTTAAAGTTGTGAAGCCTGTGGTCAAAACAGTGAAGAGCTGGACTGAGCAGGCAAAGTCAGAGCTACAGGCCTGCTTTGACTGGACCGACTGGTGCGTATTTGAGGCTTTGTTTACAGATTTGGATGAACTCACTGACCCTGTAACATCTTTCATCAGCTCTTGTGAGGACGTGTGTGTGCCCGTAAAGACCTTCTCCACATACAACAAGCACTGGTTCACAGTAAAACTCAAGCAGCCAAAGAGGAGGCTTACAGAAGTGGGGACAGGATCCTGTACAGCCAGGCCAGGAACACACAGACAAAGGAGATCAGAGCAGCAAAGGGGAGCTACTCTGAAAAGCTGAAAACCTGTTTTCTGTGTGGAGAAGCCTCCAAAACATCACTGGCTACAGGAAACCATCCCCTTCTGTGGAATATCATCAACTGGCAGATGACCTCAATGTGTTTTACTGTAGGTTTGAGAAGCAGAACTCCACACCCCTCCCCAACCTCACCTCGGACCCAGTAGCTGCTGCCCCCATGATCACCTCCCTTTCCCTCCAGCCCCCCACCCCTGAAGATCTGTGAAAAGGATGTATCTAGCCTTTTTAAATAACAAAAGATCAGGAAGGCACCGGGCCCAGATGGCATAACCCCTTCCTGCCTGAAAATTTGAGCTGATCATCTGACCCCCATCTTCATGCAGATCTTCAAAAAATCACTGGAGCTGTGTGACATTCCTTCTTGCTTCAAACGCTCCACTATCATCCCAGTCCCCAAGAAAACCCCCATCAGTGGACTGAACGACTACAGACCTGTCGCCCTGACATCTGTAGTCATGAAGTCCTTTGAGAGACTGGTGTTGGCCCACCTGAAGCACACCATAGACCCCCTGCTAGACTCCCTGCAGTTTGCCTACCAGGCAAACAGGTCAGTGGATGATGCAGTCAACATGGCACTGCATTACATCCTGCAACACCTCGACTCCCCAGGGACCTATGCAAGGGTCACCGTTAAAAAAATAAGATTAAAGCAGAAGGATGAAAGAATTGTCAGCTAGAAGGACAGGCCAAACACTTTTCATGATGCAGTTTCACTTGTATCACGACTTTGAATTGTCTTAGCTGGGTGTTTAATAATGTACCGAATGAATTAGCCACTTTGGCAGATGCATTAGGAGATAGTAGATGAACCTTTCTACTGCGAGTGTCTCTTGTCCAGTTCATACTGGACAGAACACAAAATGTGTTAGATTATACACTGTAGTGCCCGAAAAGTGCAACGAATCTGTTCTCAGAATATTTTGATAGAATCCCTCATTGTTACACTCCAGTGTCAAACTCAGCCAGTCTGTCCTCGTCCTGCCACTGGTCTTTTCAGTCCATGTCTCTCAGTACTTACCAGTCAGAGTGCAGATGTTGGTGCAGATGTTTCTCAGGCTGTAGCAACAAATGATCTCCTTAAAAGTCTTCCTCATCTCCTGACTCCTGAAGGCATAGATGAGCGGGTCAATCACAGAGTTGCACATGATGAGGATGAGGTACATGTTGAAGTGGGACATGAAGCATACGCAGTAGAGGTTCCGTGGACAGGAGATCATCAGGATCAGGTGCAGGAAGAATGGAGCCCAGCAGACAATGAAGATCCCCAGCAGGATGGTCAGTGTGATGGCCCCCTTCATGCTGGCCCGCTGGTGGATGGAGTTGTAGCCAGGCAGGGCGGCAATGCGCTTGACATGCGAACGGGCCAGCATGAACATGTGGCTGTAGAGGGAAGCCATGATGAGTAGCATGGCGAAGAACATGGAGACCAGACAGATGATCACGGGGGTGGTGTCTGAGTAGATGATGAAGACAATACCGCAGCCTGTGCAGAAGGTCCAGATTCCTGCGATAATGCAGCCAGCTCTCCTCACTGTCATAATGTTGTGGTACCTCAGTGCATAGAAGATAGTGACGTACCTGTAGATAATAATATAGCGTATATTGATTTCTGAAGTAATGTAATGTTCTAGCAGTCTTTACAAGTCACTAGGGAAATGCAGAAACTAATGAGGACGAAGCCCTTTGAGATGGCTACTGAATTCAAATGCCTGTGCACAGTAACACTGCTTTCTTAATTTCTTCTTCTTTCTGCATTCGATCTGATGGCATCACTGGAGTAACTTTCTCATATTCAGCAATGATCCTCCAGTGACTTCAACAGGCTTTGTACTACTTTTATGGATTGAACTTCCTGTATGAATTTGGTGGAGTTCCCCTTTAAGTAGGAAACAAGACATTACATACACTACCGTTCAAAGGTTTGGGGTCACCTCTATTCTTCCACTTGTTACTGGCGCCATTCAACAGCCAAACACACCTGTGGCATTCTTTACACAACTGAAATCAAGTATTATTGAGACAGGTAGCACTGTTGCAGAAGTTCCCACAGATGTGTTGCACTTGTAGGCTGTAAACATTGACTTTCAGTATTTGTTTGTAATTGTTGCATTGCATGCTTACCTAAAAGACAAATTTAGTATTTTCGATTGTTCAGCTGCACTTCTCTGCACTTACAATGTTACCTTGATAAAACAGCAGTTTGCTACAGTATTTATCTGTTGGACTTAACTGAAAGAGTACCATTTGGCATTGCTTCCATATTTTCTGATGACTAGCACTAATTTACATGGCCCATTCCAGAACCCTTCCTAAAAAGACATTATACATAGCAGTTCTGTTCTAGGGCATTATGACAAAACTGTTGGACCTGAAAACCCAGTTATTCTGAGCACCATTATGTAGCTGTTAGGTAATTGCATTGCACAACCCCTGTTGTTACACAAAAGTATGATACTGTTTTCATCGTTTTCATTTGCATTAGCTGAACTAAAAATGTGGACTTATACTGTGTTTTTAGGGCACAACGAAGCAATGTAGTCTAATTACACACACTGACTCTCATGAGAATGCAATGATTCTCCTTGACAAATATTAATAAGAAACAGTACACACTCAGAAGTACAAGAGTGTGTATGTGTATGTGTAGAATGTAGTGGCCCAGAGGTTCAACAAGGATTTCAAGAGAGAGATGTTTCTATCCGTAGACATCTCTCCCCATAAAATTAAATTTTTTCATCATTAATGATGGAGCATGGATAAGGTTTGCAAATCCAGTGTTAGGCACCTGTCCACAGCAATGGCCAGTAGGCTGCACATTGATGCAACGACAGAGATGCAGATCATGGAGTCAAACACGTTGTCCATTTGCCGGATGAAGTGGTCCTCCACCACTAGCTGTCTGTTGTTCAGAAGGTAAATAATGATGGTCTCCCAGGCGTTGGACACACTCACCAACATGTCTGCGACTGCCAGACTGCAATGACCAGACAAGTTAGGTCAGACTTCTTCCTCGTGAATCAGGAGCCTACAGAGCAGCTGTTCTAGCACTCTGTCACAGTGGAAAACCAGTTTAATGACTTGACAATTGAAAGTGCATTATGCAATCTATGTGACATTTTCAATTGACATCTATGACAGGGAGGCAAAAGTGAGGCCAAGTCACTGATGTGCCAAGTCAAGATGCTACTCCTAAACTTTTTGCAGAAGTTCGTACATATCAAAATTTAGAGACACCAACAGAGAAACCATTAGTGGTATTTGAGTTTCACCCAAGATGGATTTATTTTATCAATATTTATTCAAAATTATTCAAAGGTGACACACTGACAGTCCTGACAAAAGCAAGAAATTGTGGTGTTTTGCACTGAATGCTAACATCATCACAATAACAATGAGCACTTTCACTTCTTTTACTTTACTGGTCAGTTCTGCTTCTGCTAGAATCCCTCTGTGTTTTGCAAAATAATTCACTCAAGTGAACATGGGAACTTTGCAGTGTTAACTTTTTGCATCATCTTAATTAACACTGGGTGGGAGGCATGGTACCCTACACCCTAGACAGGTCAGCACAAGACTGAATCATTTATTTATTTGAACAACTTGTGGGTGTTGAGCTCAAGATGTGCAAATTCTCATCACTGGGTTAACTAAGCCCACTTTGCCACCTCAGGGGCATGTAAAAACTTTCAATTTTTGTTGTTCAAAATGTGTATAAAATAAAACAGGTGGACTCTCTGCTCATCTCTGGCACAGCCTCCTGTTACACATACACACATCAGAAGCAGAAGAAATATGTGTAGCGCTCACAGTGACATGCTGATAATTCTATCCAGTGCTGTCTTCTAGAAATTACAATTAAACTGCAAGAGCAGTCACGTTTTGCAGGAAACATAATTGCAAATATGTTGATACTAACTGTATCAGCAAAATTTTCGCAAACATATTTAGTTTCTGCCATAATATCCAATTTAGCAGTACATGACTTTATATGACTTTATAGTGATAGGGGCAGCATGGTGGCACAGTGGCTAGCACCGTTGCCTCACAGTGAGAAGGTTCCGGGTTTGGGCTCCCTTTCTGTGTGGAGTTTGCATGTTCTCCCCGTACTTGCGTGGGTTCTCTCCGGGTACTCCGGCTTCCCCCCACAGTCCAAAGTCAATTGGTGTCTCTAAATTGCCCATAGGAGTGTATGTGTCCATGTGTATAGTTGTTTGTCTATGTGTTAGCCCTGCGATGGACTGGTGACCTGTCCAGGGTGTACCCCGCCTTCGCCCGATTGCCGGCCGGGATTGGGGATTGAGGCCCCAGCTTGTAGATGGGTCAAAGTTCAGCTCCAGACTCAAGGCTTTTATTATTTCACTTCATACTGTGCCTACATGATGCATATTCCTAAATAATTCTGTGGCAATTCAAAATTACTGCAATGAACAGAGAATGGGAGAAACAGAGGCCTATAGCTCATTTCTACCCCAGGGCCCTATAGTGTGGTAATCTACCACAGATTTATTATAACAATATAGATACTGGACAGCAAGGAATGCCACCCAAAGCTCAAACTTCATGAGTAACCTATAAAATATCTTAATATCCATAAACAAATTCTATAATGTATGTGAGCAAGTATTCACCTGCAGACGAAGAAGTACATGGGTGAGTGGAGGTTCTTGTTTTTGATGATGGCTGTGATGACCAGGATGTTCTCCAGCAGGGATATGATACCCAGGATCAGAAAGACCTGATGAGAAAAGACAAAAATACAATGCAACAGTGAGAAGAGTAAACATGAATAAAACAGAAGAGTAGCACAAAATGAAGTACAGTAGTGGTTCCCACCTGAGCAGAGTACGCACAAAAAAAATAATACTATAAATTGCCAATCAAAACTGAAACAGTTTCAAAAAGTGTATTTTGGTGTTGAGTGCACACACAAATACAAACCTCTACAGCGATGTGGACCTGCTCACATGCTGCCGGTTTGGAGGTGCTTGTCATGTCTGGTAGCAAAGGAGGGGACACGGTGTAGTTTTGGTAACTGTAGAAGTAACCCCAGGTGGAGTTACTCAGTAGCACCTCCTCATGGTAAGAGGACTCATCAGACATGTTCATTCTTGCTTTGGCTCTGGTCCAGATCACTGCTGCTCTATTCTGGATGGCATTTTTCAAGCCAACTGCAAAGGAAAACATTAAAGTGAGACTTGAAGAATCGATGCCAAGGTGCACTGAAGCTGTTCTGGAGACAAGTGGCGGCTCATCACCTGACTAAGACACTTCATGTTGGTTTTTCCTCTCATTTGTCACCAGTCTTTACCTTCTAAACTGACATGACTTATTTGTACACCCAATAGTTACAGAGCAACATTATCATTATGGCCAAGTCCAATATTTGCTCTCTTGTACCTGTTTGTGGTCTCTACCATCTCCTGAGGGAAACACCTGGCTCTTTGGCTGCTGAACACAGCACTGTGTGGACCAGCTAGTGGGTAACTCTGTCTGATTGCTGATTGTTAACTATAATGTTATCATGGTAAATATCAAGCTACTGCCAGCAGCTGATTAGCTTATTTGAGCATGAAGCTAAAGCTCATTAATTAGCAGTGGTGGAAGAAGTACTCAGATCCCTTACACAAGAAAAATTAGCAATACCACAGTGTAAATATACTTTGTTACAAGTAAAAGTCCTGGATTCAAAATGTTACTTAAGTAAATGTGCACAGGTATTAGCATCAAAACATACAGTACTTAAAGTATAAAAGTAAAAGTACCCATTAAGTAGAAAGACATATTTAACATTAATCATATAATTTAACATATCATGTTATTATATTACAATTATTGATGCATTATTGTGTTCATCATATTTAATGTTGCAACTGGAAACGAGGAACTAGTTTTAAGTAGCTTATATGCTTTTAATTTGAAATAGTGCTGGGTAGTTTGACTATACTGATCTTCAATAATGCTTTTTATTAATCTGATTCTGAAAAGTAACTAGTAACTAAAGTTATCAAATAAATGTAGTGTAAAAAAGTACAATATTAGCCTCTAAATTGTAGTAAAACTGAAGTATGAAATAGCAAAAAATGAAAATACTCAAGTAAAGTACAAATACCTCAAAATTGTACTTAATTACAGTACTTGGGTAAATGTACTTGGTTACTTTCTACCCCTGCTAATTAGCACATCTTATTTGATTAATTTCTACAAAAACTCAAATGTAAAATCTACATGTTGTGATTCTGCAAGTTGTTATGTGCTGGTCCATCTCATTTATTTCTTTGCTGGGTGCCTAGTAATTTCACAATGACAAAACATAACTTAAATATGCTAATTAGTGAGCTTTAGAGGTGCTAATTGTTGGATTTTGTTAACTTTGGACAGAATCAGCCTAGGTATTTCCAGTTGCTGTGCTCACCTAAGCCAAACTGCTGCTGGTGGTAGCTTCATATTTACTGTACCTTTCACCAAACCCTCAGCTACTTCTGTGTTTATTCTTTTACGATAGTATTGACTTTTCCTAATTTATTTAAAACTTTGTAGAAGATGTGTTTTAACCTGACATTAATATTTAATATAATTAAGGGACTGCACACTGCTGATGTTTGGGGTCAGTGACCTAGGTAATAAACTCAATTTTGCTTCTTTGATTGATGCATGGTACAGTTGTTCAATACAGCACATACACAAACACACACACACACACACACACACACCCTTGTTTTTGTCACTTACGTGGTCCCCACATAGACTTACATTCATTTCCAGGAGACTTACCCTAACCTTAACCAGAACTTCTACTTGCCTAACACTTAACCCATAGCCTAACACTTAACGAAAGCCTACACTTGCTCTAACCTTACACCCCATTGTTTTCATAAAATCTGACAAACTATGCTGTCGGGACCAGCCTCTGGTCCCCACAAGTGATCCTGGTCCCCACGAGGATAGTAACTCATGGATTTTGGGCTGCACAATGGGTGTTGTGCGGCACACACACACACACACACACACACACACACACACACACACACACACACACAGACACGTGAACAAGAGAAGAAATTACCTCAAGACATGCAGTATATTCTTGCATATGTGCACAGAAGCATGCACACATAGATGTCCTGTACATGACTGAAGCCAAGGGGTGGCCAGGGGTGGCACATCCCTACAATCTGATTGGCCAGCCCTGGTGCCACCCCTGCCAGAATCAAAAAGTGATGCTTGTCAATATTAATCAATGAAAAATGAAAAACAATGACAAATTGTTGTTTTTCCGGTGCTTTGTACTTGATATTGGTCAAATTAGTTTTATTTTATATCCCGCATGCAGCATGATATTTAGATTACTTTCTCAGATTGTGTTGTTGTGGATTACTTGGCGTGATTTGCCTCAGTGGGGTGTGGAGGTGGAGGGGGTCGTTGTGCAGCAGTGATATTACTGGCCTGGATTAAATAAGGTTTACAGCCAAAGTTAGCTAAAGAAAGCACAATGTGTCTTCTTTTTACACACAATAAACAATTTTATTCACTTGGTTTATTATTAGAAATAGGGATTTAATTTACTTTTACATGCATTTCAAATGTGCCACCCCTCTCTGAGTTTGTGCCCCAGCCTGGCCACCCCTTCCAAAATTTTCTATATCTGCCACTGTCCTGCACAAAACAGAGCCCTGAAAATTGTTACACTGTGGAAATCTCCCATGGGTGGTAGAGGGCAAACACATAAAAAGGAAGGACAAAGCCATTTGAATCACTCTTTTCTCATGGGCTGATTGTTGTTTCTCTTGGCTGAAATATGACTTTGTAATGAGTGGAAACGCCAGAGTCAGTGTCTTTCAGGCATGAGATATGTGTCTCAGCAATACTGACACTTAGTAGGACGCATCTGAGACAAATGATGTGCCCGAGGCAGATTATCAGTACCCTGGTAAGAGGCCTTTGCATTTTAATCAGTATTACACACTGATTACCCTTTTAAGCAGTGAGGTGGTAAAATAATTTTTAATCTGTTGGGATTGAACAAGCTCAGGAAGATTTGAAAAGGTCTAAAATATAAAAAGAAATGCATCCATGTTAAAATATTTTCACTCAAACTATTAGGATCAATCTGGCCTCAAACAATGGGAAAGCGAAGTCAGTCTCAACAGAACTCAAGGATTAAGAGTTGACACATTTTGTGCTACACAACTGACCCCTTCTTAAGTTGATTTAAAATAACTTTGTACACACGATACAAAATAGTCAGCCTAAAATTAGACTTCTACACTGGAGGCATGAGCCTAAAACAGTCACAATTATCAAAAGATTGCATTCAAATCTATGCACCATTAAAGGTCAGTGAGGCAAATAGTTGCCACTGACAAAATTAAAAGGCACAGGAGTTTGTTCTGAACATTCCAGTTGGGTATGACAAAAATGAGATAAAGGGGCCTCACATGACACCCGGGGTATAAAAAAGCCTTAGTGTTATGATCCTGCCCTCAGCTGATGAGATGTGATGAGACTAGAGTAGCAATAACAGTTCCTTTCAGAGAACAGCCTGCCCTGTTTCTCAGGTCAATTCATGACCTGACATACGGACCCTCTGGTGATGTCAGATGACTCTATTTATGTTCCCTATACTTTTGCACTGAGGAAACATAACCTCTTTTACTCTGTCTTAAAAAACTCTGCAGAGTCATGTGGCAACACTGAATGTGAAAAATGGGGGAAATAAACACCCTGACAACAGCATAAAACCATTTAACTCAAATTAAGCAATGCACAACAAATTCTGCATTAGGACCACCTCAACCCCTGTTTGGACTGCAGTCATTGTCATTAAGCAAATCCCATTACAAAGTGACACTTACAGTACTTAACCTTTACTGCAGGGCAAGGAAACATCAATACCAGGTTGTTTGTGTAGTTAAGACTCTTACTGCTGTCATGCATGCACATAAAAAGTATGAATATCATTGCCATTTTAATGGAACTGCTGCAGTATTAATTGTCAGAATACTTATCATAAAGTGTTCAAAATCAAAAAGCAATTACTCTAAAAACTAGCATTTATATATCAATTACAACACATTTAACCTCTTAAAATGCCAGTGCAATTCAAATTCTTAGCAAAGTTATATTTCAGTTATTTACTTTGTGTGATGTGTCTTTTCATTTCAGTAGTTCAACAGTTTTCATTTTCTCACATCAGTTTATTATTGATTGGCATCACTATGATATGGTATTCTTCCTAACTACATATAAATTGTTAATAAGCTCTGCTTAACCTGAAAATATGCCTATATTTAGTATCCAGCTTTTTGCTGTTTCCCATTCTGGAAGATAGCAGGAGAACTTTATCGGCCATCTGTCCAGCCCACACACACAGATGGAACGATATGTAAGGTAGAACTCATATTTTCAGCAGCAAAGAACAGAAATAAAAATTTATTGATACTTTAGGTGACAAAATAGAAAAAAAATCCCCTTCCTTTTCAAAACTGAAAATTGAACAAATGTTAAGTTGCAGGCTGGATGTACAATACACTGTAAGCTGTATTTCATTTGTCATTGCCAAAATATCCAGACTTGCCAGCCAGTATCTGCTGCTTGCCTGCAACATTAAAGTGATGTAATGTATCAGTTATTATAATCCAATAATATGATATACATTATGTCATTCTGCATAATGAGTACTTTTACATTTGGTACTTTAAGTGTATTTTGACGCTCATACTTTTGTTCCTCAGTGTTTTTAACATTTTATAATATTTTACATTACTTGTAATAAAGTCTTTTTACACTTTGGTACCGCTACTTTTACTTAAGTAAACAGACTTCTTCCACCAATGAGCAATATAGTGATTAACACAACTACACCGCTAAAGGGCTGTTGTTGCATGAACCTGACCACAGATGGACTGAGAACCTCTGACTCAAACTTCAAAAAGGCACAACATGAACCCGTCACCCCAAAAACCCCTATCGAACCTACACTTGTCACCTTTCGGCTTTTCCTCACTTGTGTTGTTCCTGTTTTGGGGTCCGATAGTCGAACCTCGGATTCAGGAGGAACAATGTGGTTTTCGTCCTGGCTGTGGAACACTGGACCAGCTCTATACCCTCTTCAGGGTGGCGGAGGGTTCATGGGAGTTTGCCCAACCAGTCCACATGTGTTTCGTGGATC